TTATGGTTAATAATGGCTCTTTTAACATTGATGTTTACCATGATGACAGTAAACTCAAGAGTTTGGATACATCTTTGGTCTTAAATCAAGCATTTTATATGCATTAAATTTTGATTCTTGAGGTCTACATCATGTACATGTACATTGTACATGTATAATGTTTTGCCAAGCAACATAGCATAGTTTTTCATTCACAAATTTCTTCAAAAAGTTTTTGGCTGTTTCCTAAATGTTAGAAGCCAAATGAACCAAAATCAAAATTAAGGATGAACAAAATACATCATGCACCCAGAAATTAATCATGGAATTATGAATGAAAATACTACTACTAATCAATAATAATAAAAATTACTTGTGATATCATTAACCAAACAGTCTTGGTGCCTGTGCTTCACAATCCTTCTACATAGCCAGTTCCCTATTTACAGTTCCATTGGATACTGAGTGGGTGAGCTCAGGATACTCCAGTAGTGCTACTGGTCTTACTCTTATGTTGTTCTGAGAACCTCGTAACTCAAATCTGACCAATGAAACATCTGGAATATCCTCAGGAACACTCAGTGTCTTCCATCCAGAGTGACTGGTGCTTAATTTACACTAAAAATTAATTTAAAAAAATAGTTAAAATTATTTGAAAGAAATTATAAATCTACATGTACATGTACTAAATTAAGAGCTTCTTGATGATATGCACAACACTTCCAGAGCCACAACACATGATATGGTACTCACTCCAATTAACGCACCTCTTAAGTACTGTATTGTACGTGTATTGTACTTAAAGTACAAGTGACATGTACTGCTATAGTACAACACTATCAGTTTTATGAACTTTTATCCCACAATATTGCAATAACTAACACATCAATGTCATCAATGTCCTCAGGCAAAGACATTGTTTAAACTATTCATGAAGCATTGATTGTCTATACTATGCATGTATAGTTGTGCCTTGTGTGTAAAAGGTATGCTAAAATGATTTGTGTTAAAGCAATGTATTGAACAATCACTAGCTGGCTCCAAGCTAATTGGAACTCTCAATAATGTCTATAAAACATCCAAGGGAAATATGCTATAATGTTAGTTTAATACATGTTTTTTTACTCTCTTCACAGACATCATTGTAATTTGGATGATAGTCTGCTCAGCTTCAAGCCAAATACTATAGACTGTGAAAACTACATCTATCCACAGGTCACCAGACACTTCAATATGTGAATAGTATACTGAATAGGTCATTAGTATTAATGAGTCTACCCACTGAACATTATGTTCAGTGAGTAGACTCATTAATACTAATGACCTATACAGTATACTATTATTTTAAGTGGCTACCTAATAGTACCAATAGGAGGTGACCAGCAGCAGTGAATCACTTCTACTGAAACAAAAAATCATCTCACAAGAAGAAGGAATACTCTTTATTAAAAGAAAGGAATCATGAAGACTCTACTCTCACTCTTCTGTCTGGTTACTTACCTGACCTGTGCTCTGAGGTATGTTACTACAGTATCAAATCAATTTTACTTTTCTCTTGTACATGCAGTGCTAATGGCTGGCCAGTCTCTCTTGACATGGCTTGTGATAAAGCTCTTTCTGCAGTTGCTTGCTCTTTTGAGTTTACCAACAATGCAAATGAGGATCTTTATCTACTGAAACGTAACACTCCTCTTGAAGGACTCTACTCTCAATTTGTCTCTGTCTCTCTTGATGGTCGTCCACTGGAATATGAAGGTATCTACATTTATCGTCTCCCTCCTACAAAGGATGAGTTTGCTCTCTTGAAGGCAGGTGAGAGTATTTCTGCCTCAGTCCAAATCACTGATGCTTTTAGCATTAATACTGATGGTCTTTACACTGTACAATACAGTAGACCTTTACAGTATCTGTCAGTGAATGAGATGAATGCAATGTTTATTGATCAGCTTAAGGACTCATCTGCATGTGAATCAGTTCATATTTATTTGGAAGGCACTGATCTTTTCTCAAGGCCAAAGGAACAAAAAGTAGAACTTGATTACACAGTCTACATTGAATCCTGTACTGCAGCTAATTTTAATGGTAGCAGGGACAACGATAATACACTGGAAGCCCACAAGAGGCTCTGTGCTGGAATCGATAAAGCTAAAGGTGGAGTTGGTAACAATAATCTATATGTCACATGGTTTGGTGCATACACAGCAGCAAGGGCTAACACTGTTAAAGACTTGTACGGTAAGATGAGGACTGGACTAGGAAGCAAAACTGTCACTTATTACAATAATGGTCCAAAGTGCAAGGACCACCCTAACGCAATAGCATACACATATAAATCATATTCTCAAACAGTGGTGTATCTCTGTGATTATTTCTACAAAGAGCCAATAGCTTGCAAGGGTACTAGCTACACTAAGGAGCGCACACTGTTACACGAGTGGGCTCATGCTTTTGCTGCTCGTGATGATGAAGGATATGGTCCTGATAAATGTAAGGGTTTTGCCAAGTCTGATCCTGCCAAAGCAATCAGGAATGCTGACAATTTCAGTTACCATTATTGTGAGAGTCAGTAAAAGTCTCATCAGCCAAGAACTTTAGCACTCGTGGACATGCACAGTTTATTTTTGATGCTTTAGGCATCTTTTTGCTTAACTGTCATAATAATTATTACATCTTTGATTAATTAGTTATCTTGGCTTATATTAAAAAAATATTTATTCAAAATCAATCAAAATTAACAAGTGTTACTGTTTGCACTAACATCAAAAATGATGATGAGTGACAAATTAATAATAATCATTATCCATGATGACATGAAATAAAGCTGCTTTTGGCCATGCAATACAACAGAGTAGAAGTGCTTTGGTGCTTTCTTATAACAGATAATTTTGTGGTAGTGCATTTTTGTGTTTTTGTGGTTTTGGGGCCAGTTATTAAAAATTAAAACTGATGAAATCATTAGAGTTCCATCCACTTACTGTCAGCCACAAAAATTTAAACAGAGCATTGAACATGTACATGTAGAGTGTATGCAGCTGTACATCGTGCATCATGTACATGTATTTTGTATTATTAATTAGTTTAAAATACTTCGTCAACTTCTTTAAGTCCATCCTCATCCGGTCCAACCAACAATACTAACTGCTCCACTCTTTGCTATAAATTATAATAATAACAATAATAGTAACAACAAAAACAATAATAGCAAAAATAATAATGGAGAAAATGAAGCATAAAAGTAAATGTGCAAGAACAAAGTATAGGTATCAAAGTATATAGTATGGGTATTAAATTATGAGACTGAGAATCACTAACCCCAGAGTCTTTAGTATTGTCAATATGCAGCAGACACCAAATGGTTTGATTATTATGTCACAAGTGAGTGTATAGGACCAGGTTTTCCTCCAGGCTCATCTCTTGATTCCCAGAATGTTTTAGTAGATCCATCAGTTAAATTGTTAGACATTCCATCATTGGAGGAAACTTTGAGTTTAACATCATGTAATCAATATATTGATCATTAACTGTACTACTGGCTCAGTCTATAAAGAAGAGAGAAATGAAGAGAAAAGAATGAAAAAGTTTCAAATATTACAGATACATAGCATAAGGACATCAATATGTGTCAGAAAATGTAATAAAAATTGGGGGTGATTTCGGAGCCATTTTTAGGAAGAGCAGAATTATTGCTTTCATCATTTTACTCAAGATTAGCCCATTATTCTTAGTATAATTACTTTTGGCTATACTAAATCTATCTATGGTTTTGGGTGCTTTTGTTGATTAATGAGACATTCTTGTTGTACAATTATGTAGTATAGAGATATTTTACACTTGTTACTATTGATATGAATGATGTTGTTTTACATGTGTGTTAGTTCTTTAATTTTTGGTTCCAGAAATTATAGGCAAGGACTAGGCCTTCATGTTGTCTGTCTGTTGTTCATTCATTCATTCATGAGTTACTATGTGTCGTATTTTTGATAGCAGATGCATAAAATTTACTTTATAGAAAAAGATTTATACAAGAGTAACAACCATAATACATCAATTTTTCAATACTATATACTGGTTTATTTTTGTGGTGAAGTACTTTCACAATTTCTATTTCTAAAGAATTAATTTAGATTTCATTTAAATTAAATTTGGCAATTTTTTGCAAATTGAGGGCGCATCACAAAATATGTGAACATATTTCAGCACAAAAATAAACTGGTACATGCTGTTTGTACGCATTGTTGTGAACATAACTATAATGTGTAGACTATCAATAGAGAACTTAGCTATTCCATGATCTAGTGAAGACTCTTTGGTAGCTATTTGAGAGAAAGGGAGAAAGAAAAAAGGAAAAACAATAAATGATATTGAGGCAAATATCTAATCTTACCAAAACAGCACTGGCTTATGGTTGTCTTGACTTTAAAGCATATAATATCTATGATTAAAAGTATTTAAATTTTAAGTCTAGATTAGATCCACGTGCGCACACGTGGTCAGTAACCACACCTATGTCTTATAAATCCCGCCTACTTTAAGTTTACCCCTCCTTCCTACATCTCAGTCATGGGCAAATCTGTTTCTAAAACTGAATCAGCTCCTCCACCTACAGCTAATATTCAATCCCATCGTATTGATCTATCTAAAGACCCTTCTACTGATCATGGCCCTGTTAATCGTGAAAAAGTAGTTCAAGCTAGTCGAGCTGTTCTTCATCTTAAGGTGGGTGGGAGTGACATTGAATCCAGTTGGGTTAATGCTGTTGCCGTTAGTTTCATGTCAAAGGATGGGATCAAGACTAGTGGAATTATACTTTGTTATAAACACGATATGGGCTTATCTTCTGATACTGAATATTCATTACACTATAGGCCACTGGGTAATAGCGACTCGACCACAGCTGTTAGCCTGTCTGCTGTGAAACCAGAATGTACTTTTACTTGCCCATTGCTGTATTTCTCATTCATTCAACTGAGTCAAGAAACTGTTGAGTCTTTGAAACAGTCTGGTTGCTTTTTTTATAATCTACAAGATCAAGTTAGCCCTGTGGAAGCTGAAGACACCATTTATCTCCTTCAGTCTCCTACTCCAGCATCAACAGCCAATACTTCAAGTAGCTTACATTATGTTCAAGGATCAGTCAAGGAGCATTATGGACAGGATATATGGTATAAGGCTGTTTGTTCTTTCGCTCCTGGTATTCCACTGTTCAATTCTTCTGGGGAATTAGTGGGACTACATAAATCTGATGGCACCGTCACCGCTCAAGATGATAAAGAAACACAATGTACATTAGCTATTCCATTGACAGCTGTTGCTACTGTTCTTACTCAAGTTTCTTTGAATTGTGACTCACAATCGTTAAGTCTTCGGAGTAATCCTGTAGATTTAACATCGTATGGTACACAATTGGAAGAAATTGGGCTTGAAGTAATGTCACTCAATCCTTCCAGTGAGAGATATAAAGGATGCCTGATGTACATCAGTCCTGCTAACCTCAGAGAATACATCACAGCAATATGGTTTATGCCGACTTGTATGGGATGGTATTGGAGCCCAACTGACCCAGAGGGTGAGCTTTGTCCTAACTGGATGCCGGTCAATAGGCTGGAAGTTATTGGAGGGTTTTGGCATGGACAAATACCAGCTCCTAAGAATGTTACAATTATTCGCTGGCTTGATCAGCATAATATTACAGCTAGTAAGTAGTAATTGTTAGACATTATATTGATTCTTAATGAACTATGCACTTTTAAAATTTTATAATCCACTTATACAGACTTCTTAGTTGAATGAATTTAGTTTACAATTTTTTGAATGTATTTACTGTCAGAATTGAATTTTTTGTTTATAATGGTTTTAGTTTGCTATACTCGCTAATGATGAAAACTCTGCAGGTCTGATCTACAGTTTTTGTAGGTTAATTGAGGCAAATATTTGTGGGTGTCGCATACCTCCAGATGTGCATGTGAGCTAATCCCAGTGAAAGGGATTAATAAGTATCGCTATTGAATAACTAACTTTTAAAAATTTACTCATATACCCTTGCCTGTATGCCTACACGTGGCAAGAGTAATTACTGGCACTAATATTATGGCTTTGCATGCATTATATAGTTTACAGCTTAGCCTTTTATATGAAAGCAACTTTATAATTTTATTCTAATTGCAAGCATAATTAAAAGTCACTATTTTTTCGCCTCTATTTATGAGCCGCAGAAATTGTTTTGTAATTAATTAATTAGTGTGTCATTGAGATTATGTAGCATTTATGCAGTTACCCTCACTACTTGGTTCCAAAGTTCAACTTGTCTAGGCTAGGATAGCTCACTGTCAGTATAGTAACCAATAGATTAGCAGTACCCCAAAATTCCACTCTTAAGATAGTTGACATTTGTAGGTGTACAATTGTTGCATGTACATCTTAATTTTATTATACTGATCATTCGTGATCAAAAATTTAATTACCTTTACTTTTGTTATTAGTATAACACATGCATGAAAAGAGGCAACATGTGACAGATTTTCTAGACACAGTTTTAAAGCATAATTATTTTATAGCTACTACAAAACACGATGGAGAATTAAAATCAGGTCAATCTATCTCAACTTCAAACTTTGCCTGTAGTTACGAAGCTGTGAGTCTGAAGCTCAAATGATAGGCCCAGCTTTACAGCAGTGATTATTATTTTAAATGTCCATTTCTTGTTTTTATTATTATCATTTATTTTGGCTTTGTAAAATGCTTAGTTCTCATGAGTATGAATTTAGGATCTATTATCATAATTGCAATTATTGCTTGCACTGCAATGTCACGCCCATCAAGCTAAAATTAAAATCACAAAGAGAAAATGTCTGGTCCAGGTAAGTCATGTAAGTGCTTATAATGGTCTGTTTCATGGGTCGTTAATCCTTGAATAGGTGGTTATCCTGTTCAAAAGACTCCTGGAAGTGGTAAGTTGCTTGGAAAATGCTACCTCTTCTTACTAAAACACCTTCCACCCAGCTTATCCTCAGCAACAGGGATATCCACAGCAACAACCCTCCGCACATCAACAAGAGCAACCGCCAGCCTATCAGCCTCAAGGCTATCCTCAGCAGCAACCCCAGGGGTATCCACAGCAAAACCCACCCTATCCTCAACAGATGGGATATCCTCAGCAGCAACAGCCACCATTTCGACCACCTGTGAGTTCCATATTTTGCGTGATTGTGTACAATCTTTTAACTTGTTTTTATGAGAATATTGGGTGGTATGTTATTACGAATTGTGTGGCTCGTAGTATCCTGAGTCATGGAATAAGAGGGCCTATATGCTGGTGGTATATTAAGCTATTATACAGGAAACGATAATTTTGCCTAAAACAATGTGGTGATGACTCTATTTTAAAGTGAGAAAGTGTTAATGTCAAAAGAGCTGCATGTTTGCAATCAGCTATAGATAGCACAGACTGCACAGTAGTATAGGTAGCATAATAGAGCTTCTTTAATATGTTTGGTTTTAGTACAAGAGGTATACAATACATAGGCTCCATAACTTCTTGGTTTTAAAAGGAAAGCACAAAAAGCTAAATATGTGTATACTAAGCAAATGTCTTATGCTTCTTGCAAGATTGCATTGTGGAGACCATCCTTTACTGGCCTGCTTCTGCATAGTCATTGCCAAGCTACGATGAATGCTGTTTCAATGCTACCAAAATTAAGAACTGTAAATTCACCATTACTTTCCTTTTGTGACACCACTTATATTGATTCAGTTCTTAAGTTTATCTATTCCATTATCTTTGGTCACAATTTTAAGTTCGATTTATATTGCAATAGGCTATCACTTGTAGTGTCTGCAACTCTGCGTGATTTACAATGTAGTCCTGACATTACATTGAGAATGAAGTTGAGTTTGATTCAACTCTAGTGTAAAGCATGTGTCAAAAGGTCAAATGATTGATTAAAAATTGATAGTACATGGGCCTTGCATTATAATTGTAAATCCAGCTTAAGGTGTAAATATACAATGTATGCCTAACGGGAAAGTTAAAGTTCCAGTACCATACATTTATAGCCACTTCCAATTATAATGTATTGCAGTGTGAATCAGCTTTTATAGTCTAGACCATATCCTTTGACTCATTGTTATTATTATTATTATTACTAGTACTAATAATTGTAGGTGGCAGTATTTAATCAAGATGCTGTAGTTGATCCAAATAAACCCATTGTGATACCAGTAAGTCAATATTAAGTTTATTGTTAATATGATGTTTTGCTATAGCCTCCTCCTCCTGGCTATGCACCAACTGCAGCACAGCAGGCTTATGCACAAGGTGGGGCAGTTCATGTTGTCAAAGAGGAAAAGGACAACCTTGGAGGAGGATCTGATGGTGGCATGACCATTTGGTGAACTTTCAAGATGAGATTTGTCTTTTTTGTCTTTCTATCACTTTAATATTTTTATTAGTTCAAACAAATAAAGAATATTTAGTCAATGTCAGTAGTATCAATCTTTGCTTTATTTTCATTGTGGCTTTACCTTCATGATTCATTATTAAATTTTTCATGGTACATTGGGTGGAGTAATGGTGGGCGTGGCTACCTCAAACTGTCAATTAAGCGTTTTAGAGAACATCTTTCGACATCTTTACCTTGGAACAATGTTTGGGAAAAAGAGTAAAAAGCCAAGCGGTGGTAAGAGAGTGTATTGAGATACTAACCTTCAGCAGCGTCATTTGTAGGTTCACCGTATCCTAAACAGCCAGCATATCCAGTTCAACAACCAGCTTATCCTGTCCAGCAACCTTATTCAACCAACCCAGGTACATTTAAAAATAGCACTAAAACACAATAGTAAATAAGTTTTTGTAATAGTTGGTGACAGTTTATAGAAGTGAAAGTCATTTAAACGAATAGACAGCACACTAGTCTTAGTAGTCTCACAGCACACCTAAACATAAGTTATTAAAATTCATTGAATTGGTATAGTGACATGAGGAGTGACATCACTTTTTGATGTTAGAATTACTTCTGTGTGGCAGAAATTAATGAGCCTCACTCATTTACAGCAGTAAAGTTACTTCTATAACTTCTTTCATATAGCACAAGGCAAAAAGGAGTAAAATTATAGCAGTAGTTAGCAGAAAAGTAGCAATAGCAATAATTATAGGAGTAACAAGACAAGGCTGTATTCAATTTGGCTGCTTCACTGGTTTTCTATCTGAAACGACGAGGACTTTTTGTTTCCTTTGCATCCCTGGGCCCAGGCAAATAAAAGAGCAGCACGAGTTAGCCATGTTTATGGGTAGGGAAGCCTGCCATAAAAGCTTATAGCACTGTACAAGTGACTGGCAAAGTAGCCATTTTGCCATGCGGAAGTAATTATGATGTGTGCTGTGGCGTCATATGAAACCGTTTTATACTGGAACCTTAATTATAATTACTGTGGGCTTATTACTCGTCATGTTGTTGGTCACTGTGACACATAAGAGGTACAAAAAACAATGGTCCATTCATTTTTTTCCTGGTTTATTAAATCAAAGAAAATTGGATTTATGCTAAGATAATGGTACAAATCAACTTGCCTTTTGTATAAGGACTTTATTTATCAAGTACCCCCAATTATTACATATACTTTCTGATACATACCATAAATGTTCAAATAAAAGTGCGGGCATTTATTTCTTTGCAGGACAAAAAATTGCGTAAAATAAAATACAATAAAACCAGAATTTGAACTCACAACCTTGGGATCAGTGAACTAAGCTTAACAAGTTAGCCCATTTAGGACACTCTAAACTGTATGGTACCACCTATATTGAGTAAAATATGCGTATCTATACTTGGAGATTATTAGTACCAGGTAGAGCTGGGCGATAGTAGTCAAATCACTATCACGATAGTTGTTACTATTACTATCCCGATAGTGAAACTATCACGATATTAGAGCTTTCTTGTTAACAAATAGTTATAACTATTAATAACGAAAGTCAAAAGGAAGTAGTACATGTATATACAGGCTGTAGGAACTTCCTCTCTTGCTGGAAAGCCAAAATGCTTCCAAATGTCGCTTTTGCTTCCTTCTATAGGAAGAAGGTCTGTCCCTTCAGATGCCATGTCTAGATATCAGCTGCTATCCTGCTACAACATATGGTTGTAGTACTGAGCATGCCTATATGTCAACACGTGGTTTACTATCACGATAGCTTCAATACTACCGTATAGCGGAAAATTTACGTGGCCCAAAATTTTCGCGGATTTCGCGTTTTTTTCAAAATCCACGAAAATAAAATCCGCGAAAATTGATTTTATACAGTTTAAGATGGCCGAATTGTAGAAAACCACAAAAATTAAAGCCACAAAATTGATTTTTGGACGGATCCACGAAAATTTTGGACCACGAAAATTTTCCGCTATACGGTACTATCATATCACAATAGCCTCTATACTATCGAAGTAGTGAATATATTCGAAACTATCGCCCAGCTCTAGTACCAGGTGTTTATTCAACCCAGGCTTTCATTTGAACATTTATGGTATTGATGTATGTAAAAAGTTTGAGCTGATTCCAACAGAAACATGTATTTTTTAATTATGAGCAATTTCAATGAACCAATTTTTCGAAAAAGCGAAGGCTGATGTTTTTTTCAAAAAGTGGTTCCGAAATCACCTCCAGTTTTCATTACATTTTCTGATGCATATTAATGTTTTTATGCTACATGTACATAGAAATTTTGTGAGTTATTGTCATTTTTTTAAAAGCAAATTTGACCCCTAATTTTCATTGCACTTTCTGATACACATATTGATGTCCTTATGTTATGTAGAAAGTTTAAACTGATTCTGACTGGAATTTTTAAAGTTACGACAGTCTTTAAAAGTAGCAAATTTTCAGAAAAAAGCAAAGGCAGAAATTGGCTCTGAGATCACCTCTAATTTTTATTACATTTCCTTATACATATTGATGTCCTTAAGCTAGGTAGAAAGTTTGATTTCATTTTGACTAAAAAATTTTTTTGTTATGATCATTTTTAATAGTAGCTAATTTTTAGAAAGAACAGGCTAGCCATGTTTTTTTCCAAAAATTGGCTCCAAAATCAACTACAATTTTTATTATGATTTTCTAATGCATATTGATGTCCTTGTGCTTTGTACACTGTAGAAATGCATACTTACATGTAATTTACACATTTAGGTGGCTTTTTTGAGGATTATAACATATGCATGCATGTGTCAATTTTTTGAAAAAATACATGTAGCTAATGCACTGTCTGTGAAATTCATAACTCATGAAAAATGAATGTACACATTCATTCATATACATGCATGATGAACCATTATATGGGTACCACTGTATCAGCATGCTTGTATAAGTACATGTACATGTACAAAATGCTACAGCCTATGTACATTTGGTGTAAATGCACATATTCTTTTGTTTTTGGACTATATATAACTACGATGCATAGCAGAGCACTCCAGCCTTTTCACTTTGATTCCATTAAACTTAATTTTACATGTGTTTTAAATGTCTGTTTTAATGATACATTTGTTCTGCTAATAGGTTATCCTCCTCAGCCTGGAGCATACCCATCAGCACCAGGATACCCTCCTCCCCCTGGTGGATACTCGGGATATCCTCCCCCAGTTCCCCCTGGAGGATACTCAGGATATCCACCTCCTCCTACTGGATATCCACCTCCTCCTGCTGGATATCCTCCTCCTCCTGGAGTGTATCCAACTGACCAGCCTCCTGCCTACTCTCAGCAACCACCTCCACCTCAGCCAGCGCCTGTGAGTCTATTTCAGGCATGCTGCCAGTAGTATTTTTAATGCTTTCTTGTAGGTTGCTGTATTTAATCAAGATGCTGCGATCAATCCTAACAAGCCTGTCAATATTCCAGTAAGTATAATTATTCTTCTCTGTTCTTTATATTTATTGTACTTTGTGTATGTAGCCACCTCCCCCTGGGTATGCTCCCACAGCTGCGCAACAAGCTTCCGCTGAAGGAAGAAGTGTTCAAGTCTCACAACAGAAGAAGGATATGTGGGGTGGAGGCTCTGATGGTGGGTATACGATCTGGTAATTTGGACCATATAAATTTCCTTATTGTGTCACTATTATTATTATATCAGGATATATGAACTGTTAATTGTATCAATTGTTTATTCACATTAATTTATTATTGTTGCAAGTAGTTGTTTATTGTTTTAAAATTGTCTTTGTGGTTCATTAAAACCTTATTAATTTTAGATTTGTAAATAAACATCATCATAATAGTCAATAGACTGTGAACTTACTGATTGCAGCCTATAACTGAATTTCAAGCTGCTTAACCTTTTTACTCTGTATAGATAAGATTAAAAATATGTGTACATGTAAGTGGAGTAGAGCATTTATGTGGTATTCAAATTTTGTCGTATACTTTCTTGTCACCCAACATGGCCACTACAAATTACAAGGCTTTACTCTTCTTGTGTTTGTATGGATCCCATAAATTATTTGGTTTTTTGAAATTTAATTTTAAAGGAATTAATATTTCAACAAAATTAATATAAAAAGCCACAATATGTGGCTTTGTTTTCTTGAAATAATTGTGACATAGTCGACTAAATAGAAATTCTTGGTATATTATTTAGTTCAATAAAACAAACACTAATAAAAATCTATAAAATCAACTCATCATTTTCCTCTGGTAACTCTCCTTCAAACAACTTCCCACCACAAGCGGAATTCCCTGGATGATAATGATTGTACGGATTGTGTCGTGGCAACGCTGAGCCACACAACCAACAAAATTGACAATTACACGTGAGACAAGCCATTTTATTGCAGCCGTGATCCTTCTCTATGGTAGAGTGGCAGTTGGGACAAGGTTTGGTATTACTTTTGATCCAACTGCTAGACTCATACTCTTGAAATGCTCTTTCCAGGTACTTCTTCCCATACTGCAGTTCAAGTGACTTTTGTAGTTCTTTATCTCCAGTTTCATAAGCTTCCTTTAGCTCTTTTATATCTTGCGGTAACATTTTGCAAGGTGATATTCCGTGCCATGTCCGCTTGCATAGGACACAAAATGAGAATTTGCAGTTTGGACAGAGAGCCATGTTACTGTCCTCTTCTTTCAGCGTCACACAGTGGCAAGTCGGGCGAGGACAATAAACAATATCAGTCATACCATCAAGGGTTCTTTGCAATAGTAATTTGTCGTAACGCTCAAATAGTTGAGGAGAAATGAGGCATTGTATGAGCCCTGGTAAAATGGGTTCTCTACAGTTAGAGCCTGGACAGTCAATAGTAGCCACACTACCATCTCCAATCTTACTGGTGAGGTAAGTGACCATGCATTCCTTGCAAGTAACGTGAGGACAAGATTGTAGTCTGATGCACTCAGATCCAGAAACATTTATGCAACAAATTTGACATGTGAAGTGACTCGATTGAAAGACAATAGTTCTCTGTTGGTTGTCATATTCAATTAGCAGTGGTACTATGCTAAAGAGGTTCTTCATTTCTTGAATACCTCTTGCGTCCCAATCACTCTGTAGTGCCCGAGGGTTTTGATATTTTATTGCTAATAGTCCATCAATACCAAGAACTGTCATAGATTCATGAGCGAGAAACTGTTGCCACTGATACAGAACAGGTGCTCCACATTGGTCCTTCCATATTTGATCAAGATTACGGCATAAGACTCCTAACTAAAAATAAAAAAGTCAATATACCTTTTTATAGCATAAGATTTAATTGTAAAATCAAAATTTAAATTAGCAATGAAATTCAACACTCATCAGTACAATAACTATCAAAACCACAAAAAGAAACTAACTATAAGCCAAGTGACACTGAAAGTTTGAATTAATTTCAAGCACAAAATTTATGCTACAAGAATTCAAAAAGTCAGACTCATTCAACTGATAAAGATCTAGACTAACTAGCCAATCCATTAAAGAAGTTTTGAGACGCAAAACGAGCTAATAGTTACAAAAAACTCTTATTGTTTTAAACTTATGCATGCACTGCAG